ACTCTTCTTGAACCGCTGGACCTCAGGGTCCACTCCAGCTCCAGTTCACACCAGGACAGCATTACTAAGATGGACCAGGTAACTTTTTTTGTTGTCCTGATTGCAACAAAGCAGTAACTGAACTTTTGTTGACCTCAGTAAACTGCACTCTCATGTTTACCACCCTGGTACTTAATACCAAAATGTGTTTTACTTTCCTTCTGAAGGGATTAACTTATCACATCTTGAACCTTTTCTTGTAATATTTTGTAATGCTGAAACGCAGTAGTCTATGAATCAATTAGATGATCAACAGAAAATAATCAATAATCTGTTGATCATTTAGAGTCATTATCAGGCAAAGATGCCAAATATTCCCCGAGAGGATTTGCTGCTTTTCTACATGTTGTACATCATTGTGTCATTTTATAGACTAAACAATTAAACAATTAACTGGAAAGATGATCAGTACTGAAATACACATAAGCTGCAGTCCTAATATAATCTGATCAGTAGCTCTGGAATAGATAGCTGTTCAACTGTGTGGTAATGGTACACCTATAATTATGAGTCAGTGAGCTTCCTCGATACTGTGGCTAGCAGGAGTAATAATAATACATAATAATAATAAATAATAACTCCCCAAAAATGATTAAACAGTCCTCTGCAGGTCTGGACTTGAACCCTGCATAATGGTACTGCTGTTGAAGCCACATTTCGTTGTACAACCATGTATTGTACAATGATAAATAAAAACCTTGATACTGCTGCTGCCCATGCAGCAAACATATCTGGGATTTCTGCACATTTGGCAGTATCCACATATGTTTTGTTTTATGTTTTTTTTTTTATATTAAAAATGTTCATTATATTGGCCCCAAGGTGCGTCGGCTCAACAGGAAAATGCCCATCATGCCAGATTAGTAGTCCAGCGCTGGCCTCCTGCATGCACATCTGTTACACAAGTCTCACTTGAAGTTCATAGATGGTTCCTGACAACCTGCAATCAAGTACAGAAAAAAGTGTTATAACTAATGTTACTGTCTTCAAGATACCCTGTGTAAGGTAGAAGTTCCCAAATTGGCGGATGGGCCCCGCTGGAAGGATGCAAAGCCCCGCAGAGCGGGTGTGCATAACCAAGGAAAAAAATGTGGTATGAATGATGAATAGACCTTTTTCACAGCAGACATTTTGATTTGTCAAACACTGGTGTAACTAATAGTGTAATCAGCTGATTGGCCTGTGGCCATTGTTATGTTATTAGTTCCACCCTGTGCTTTTCTGATATGACAAGTCAAAATGTCCACTGTAAATACAGGTTATGTGTCTCATTCATCTGGGAACAATAAAGAAGCAAGTGTGCTGTGATCTAGATTTATTCAGACAGCAAAATGACAATGTGAAAAATTAAAACAAAATCGTAGTGAAACACAACAGACAAATTATGAAAAAGTCTATCTTGCTTCCTATTTGTACAACCTTTAAACTAACATGGACTTGAAAAAGTTATTTTAATAGAATCTAACTTGGCTAATTTTGTCACTATGTTCTCCTGTGTTGCTGTCAGTTAAAAATGCAATCAATTTAACATGTCAGGGTTGACATTATTTGGCTTCCGGGAGCTTAGCAAAACCAGACGAACAAGTCCTTTGTTATACAGACCAATCTCCAGGCAGATGGTTTACCTGTTTGATTTGATTTGACAGGTGACCAGTTTCCAGGAGCTGCTGACCAAACTCACCCACAGCTGCCCGCGCATCTCCAAGATGCGCTCACACTTCGACTGGTCAGATATGTCCGTGTCGCTGCTCACCCAGTTCCAGCAGCTCCGAGTCCTCGAGCTCAAATACTTCTGGGTCTTTAAAGGAGTGACCCCCTCTACACTGCAAACCTTAACCAAATCCCTGCCTAACCTGAAGTCTCTGACTTTACACATCCTGGTGCCGCTGAGGAACCTGGGCATCTCGTACATTCTGGAGTCTCAGTCTCTGGAGTTCCTGGACGTGTCGCCCAGCCGAGGCTTGGTCTTCTCCTGTCTGAAGCTGCCTGCCCTTCGGGAGCTTCGAGCCAAGAAGATCGTCCGCGGCATCACACTGGACCGTAGGACCAGGTTGAGGATCCAGAGCCGCTGGCCCTGCCTCTACCACGTCCTCCGGGAAGGGACGCCGAAGCTCCAGGCCCTCAACAACGAGAGGCTGCTCACCACGTGGAGAGAGGAGAGCTATGGGGAGCTGTCTGCCATCCTGGAACAGTCCTGTTACTGTGTTCAGCATCTAGACAGCTGGCTTTGGTAGTGAACTGTGTGACATCAAAGGAAGTACATGCCATATATGGTCATTGATTGATTCCAGAAGAAATCAATATATTGCTTTTACACACACCCTATTTTTGTCCTCATTTGAATGAATGTACTCAGAGGGACACATAAACTGAAACTTGAAAACTGAAATTAAAGGACTACAAGTTGTTTTCAATTCTTAAAGAGGAAGCTGCTGTTACAGTTGGAAATACTTCCCCAAGATAATGATACACAGTGTGTCAATAATTGTTTTATTTTGTTTGTCAATTATCTCCAAAAACCAGATGTGCTCCATGCTGATTGCACTGTGTTGTGCTTTCCTTGATTCACTTCCACTAGAGGTCTGTCGTTGAAAAAGTACAACATTAACTACAGTTCTACCTGAGTCCAGTGATGTGTTGTGAAAAGAAGATTAAATGACGGAGTGTAATGGCTTCTTCGAGTTGTGGAGAATGCCTTTTAAACTTGTTTAAAGTGAAAACTATGATGGAACACTGCTGAGGAAAGAAAAACAGATGGCAGAAAGTTGTGTTTTCAAGAATATAATCACCATATTTTCATTATACAGTCGTACTTTTACCAGAAAAAGTTGTAATATGTCAAGATTAACATCGCTAATTTATTTAAATAAAAAATGTTGCTATGTAATTTCAAGACAAAGTTGAGAGCCTTGGTCAAAATCTCAGAAGAACAGAAATATTACAGATTTATTTTCAAATTATTACAACTTTTGCTGGAAATACTACGGTTTCATTCAAGTTTTACGACTTTATCTTTAAAAAATATTATTTATTCTCTTTCCCTTTATTCTCAGTATCAAATTTCCAAACAAATCAAAATAAAAACGATTTCTTAGTTATAGAAAAACGGATAGGTGCTGTACTGAAAATGTAACTATTCCTATTAGTTTGGTTAATATTGAGTTCAGATGTAATTATCCTCACAGACAGTCGTCTACTGTTTCTATTCGATGGGCAGTGCTGTAGAGAAAGTGAGCCCTTTACTAAAAGGTTGGCAGATGAGACCAGAGGTGCAAATGCAGGAAATAAACTGACTATATGCTGATAGAAGACATTAATTAATTGTATCCCAAATAGCAAATTTGAATTACATACATTTTGTAACATTTGCGGCAAGTGAAGACATAGTAGATGACAAAAAAAGCTTTTTTAAATTGATGGGTACTGACCCTGGGTCAGTAGGACCAAGTCCTGTAGACAACCCCATTCTGAATTACCTGAAAACCAAAGCTGATTCTGTGTAGCCACTCTGACTTGGCAGCTAAATACATTGGCACACACTTAGCCTGCCAGTATTAAGCTGGTGTAATTCTAATCACAGCCTGTCAGGAATGCAGCACAGCTGAATGAGGGTTCATTCCAGTGCTTTTCCAGTTTGCACTCAACATTTATTCTGTGAGTGCCCCTTTTGTTTTAACTGTTGATGCATATGACGTTTCTTTTCATCCTGTGAGTATTTCTCCCAAAGCAGATGGAGAGCTACTGTAACAATTTTCCCTGCCTGTCTTAAAAAGAAAGAATTCCTCCACTCTTGATCTTTGGAAACTTCCAATTTGCACATTTCCACTGCTGTAATGGAAGGTTGCTCAAATCACTGCAGCAAGCAGGTCCAGCTATTTCATATGTGGAAAAGGTGCTTTTGCTATTATGCTCCCAAAAAGTAGAGGTCGCTATTCTCAAAGCTCTGGCTGTGAAGGTTTCTCTCTCAGAAACATGTGTTTACAAATGTACCAGTGTGACATCATTTCACTACAGTACTTGTGCTCATGGCTTGTCCGAGTAGCAGATGTGTGCTTGAGGGTATTTATGCTCTTCAGAATATATCGATGTACGTGTGACATTTTAGTTAACTGATGGAACCTTTTGAGTGTAAAACATTTTACAAGATTCTTCATAAAGAAGATTGTTTTAAATCTTAACTTTCATTTGTAAGCGTGTGTCTGTGTGTATAAACCCATCTCTGCTGTGTGTGCCGGCATCAGCTTGAGGCTTCGCCGAGAAACATGCTCCGATCCCAGAACTTACCTCCGGCTTCCTAAGGAATAAGTCCTTCCTGGAAGCAACACGTGCATGGTGTGTGAGTAGAGGGCCCTGACATTTAACAGATGTTCTAACATCTGGACCACTTTTTAAATAAAATCCTGGAACTTATTAACTGTTTTAAGTGAGCACCAGGGAATTGTTTCTTGGGTGTTTTATTTGCTTTGTTACACTCCGTGACTAAATGAATGGAATTTGTTGTGTTTTTTTTTTAAATCCCCAAAAAACAAAAAGTGTTTTTTCATAAGTGTCATAACACATAATTACATCCAGCTCATTCGAGACCATAATGTGCGACAGGAATGAATGTGGCTTTTCTTGGCCTCTCCTCCAGCTGGCTCCCACTGCGCTGATGATTTGCCTAAGTTGTTGGACCATCGTAGTGTTTCAGTGTGGTCGGGTCGGTTTGATTCCCTTGACACTGCAACAAGAACATCTGTTCTCAGTACAAAAAACCACCACCACACTGTACACTGCTTTTCCTATACTGTTCTCATTTTGCTTCATTTTGTTTCCCCATGTTTTCATCTCCTGAGGTGAGGTGTCTTTGTGTGTGTGTGTGTGTGTGTGTGTGGGGTAGTCATGGTGGTCGTGATTCCCTTAGGTTGGGGCTTTCCAGCCAATTCAGTGATTTCCCAAATCACTCTTTCTGTATTCTCCTGCTGTTGTTTTCTACTCTCATATGCTGCCCACTCAGCACTCCTCCCCTCATATGCTTCTCGTTTGTAGGGACTTTGTCAATCGCCCAGGATCTGTGTTGACATGTATCTTTGGAAGCCAACGTCCGGCCCCCTGCTTTGAGGTTTTACCTGGCCGTGGATTGCAGTAGTTGGAGGAAATGTCACTGCAATGTGATTATGATGGTTCGGGCAGTGTGTGTTATGTTCATTGAAAGGGAACATGTGCGTAATGGGTTGGACAGGGTTGTGTGTGTAATGGGTTGTGAGGATAAAGTGTTCCTAGAGGTTTATTTAACCCCTGAGTTAGTGGCAAGACTACAGAAATCACCCCCAGATGTTTGACAGCACAATCTGAATATTTACAACAAGGCCAATGAACATCGGCCCCTTCACGCTGTAACACTTACTCTTTGCTCCTTTGGCAATGCTCAAGTTAATGCTTAATCTAAGTGCAGACCCTCAATTGCTAAGGCCAAGCCCTGTTTATGAGAGGGAGGTTACTTGGACTCGAACAGATCAGTCATTGCAGACCAAAGGCATACAAGCTCAGGGACGCCATCAGATTCATCTCTACCAGTCAAGCAACTGGACCTTCAGGACTGACAGGAGGAAGCAGCCACCTCTTTCGGCATGAAAGGTTCCTTTACATCCAAGGCACTCGCCGCTGCCTTTGTCGTCCTGACCATCTCTGTCATTGCTGGCATTGTCACCATGACCATTCTGTACAAGACGGAGATCTCTAAATTGAATCCGACGCCCCGTCCAACCTTCCCGTCCACCACAACAGGACCACCACCTGTCATGCGGCTGCCAAAGAATCTCATACCTCAGAGCTACAAGGTCTTCCTCCAGCCTCACCTCTACACCCAAATCATCGAGAAGATAAATGTGACCAGTCCCAATCAGACAATGCTCTTCACCGGAAACTCTACGGTTAACTTTCACTGCGTCCAGAGGACTAGCACAATCTACCTTAACAGCAAGGACCTGGCTGTTTCTGATCCAGCGGTGATGGACAAAAACACAAATGAGATGATAAGTGTTTCTGAGCTGAAATACCACGAAGACGAAAGTAACTTCCTCGAGATCCAGTTGAATAATGCCTTGGAGGCAGGCCGTAACTACAGTTTGTTTCTGGCTTTCAAGGGAGAGATATCAGAAAATCTTGATGCACTGTATGTAAGCACATATATTGAAGGTGACCCAGATTATGAAGGGGATCAAAATTCAGAGAGGTAAGTAAAAAAGTGTTTCATGTGTAGAACTTGTGATTATAGTGCCTTTCAAAGTATTCTGATGGCTTACATTTTTGTAACAATTAAGGCTTGAGCTATTCTATAGCTTAATCCACTTGTTGCGATCAATAGCTATGGCAGCATTAAGCATTCTTATCTGACATCAACAAAAGTTCTGTGTCGATGATCCTTATCCAGCTTTAGCTTTAGTTCAGTTCAATTCTATGATGATAAATCAACAAACCGCCAATCCATATTGTTTGTTGCTTTGTAATCAGCAGTGTTATCCTTACTCACTGATTAATTGGGTTTCTTTACCAATTACTCAACGGCATAAGTAATAAGTTATGTGTCGACACCCACAAGTCACAGGTTCTGTATCTAACACATGTAGAAATAGAAACATTGACACATGGTGCTTAACAAGCAAACAGTTTATGTTGTGGAGGTGTTTTTACTGACACAGTGAAGCTACCGGGTTCACATATCCGGCTCAGCAAAACCAGATGATTCCTGAATGTAGGATTACCAGTGGCTAACATTAGCAAGCCTCACACCTCCATATAGATACTGTATATTCGTAGATACAACATTGCAGTTTGGTTTGTTACAAATGCCAGGCATGTATTTATGATATGGGACACTACAGGAAATTCCTATGAAAAAACAAAAATACTATCTTTTGTAGATAGTAATAGTACTTTTTAATATAATTTAATTCATAATATAATTTGGCAGGCTTCACTATGTTGTTTTTACTCATATTTATAGTGAAATAATTATAATTTGCTCATTTACACTTTATGCCTCATTTCAATTCAATACACATTTTCTGTTATTTGAACTGGCCAGAACCCCGCTGCAATATCAAGGCAGCAGAGACGCATCTCGTTGTGGCATCTACGTGTATATATCTACGATACCAGCCCTTGCGTTAAGCTAACACGTTCTCCTCTGAATGTGTAAAGACCAAAGTGATATCAAACTCCTGTTCAGACATAGTACATGACAAAATACCCAACAAAAGATGCACACAGCCGGTTGCATGTCTTAAAACCAAAATGAAACGAGTGTGTTAACATGTTTGCTGCTCTAAACCCTAACATTTGCCTTTGTATGTATAAGACAATAACATATAAAATCAAGAATTAACCTTTGTGCTCAATGAAAAAAAATTATATTTGAATAAAAACATTTTGTTAAGTGGCGAGTGGGAGAATAAACTTTGCCAACTCACAAGTTTGATTTTTGAGACGCTAAAACTAGAACATAAACTAGATGAGACCAAAACTAATCAACACATATTATATTGTATTGGAGCCAATGGGACCTAAAATGTGCAACAGATGTCTTTGTGGTCTGTTCCTTTCTCTGCTTGCGGAGTATTCCAGATTAAAAAAGAACAAAAGCCATATTTTATTCAAAGTAAACAAACTGCATTAGTTTCCTGGTTTGGGCTTTTGTCTGTTACTGTAATTGATCCATTTTTCATGACAGGCCCATGGGGTTAAAAGAATCCAAACACAGTATGAAATCACTGAGTGAAGATGTATGCTTACATATACACTCAGCTAGAGTCCACACCCACACACCCCCACACAGTTTCTCACATTATTTATACTCTGTTCTGTTTCAGGAAAACCTACAGGAAACAAGATATTCCTCTAGTCACCACACTTTTCCTTTACGCATTCATTTACACTTACAGTATTCAAATTTATAGATCAAAGGTCTGGTACTGATGCTCAGTCAGGGGTCTTGGACTGGCATTCATGCGAAGTCTACTGTTTGGCTTCCTGTGTATGTTTTGGACTTTGTGAATACAAAATCGCCACTGTTTCCATCAGTGTCTGAAAGACACAGAGGCACAGAGGTTATTCATTGAAGTCAAAGCTTTTAAACGTTTGAATTCAAAGTGATTTATCATATTGTTGTTTATGAAATTCAAATTACTTCCTCATTATTTTTATCTTTTATTCGTATTCCAGATACTGACTTTCTTTATCTGTATTCATAGGTTCCTTGCCGCCACCAACATGGAACCAACAGATGCCAGGAGAGTGTTTCCTTGTTTCGATGAGCCAGAAATGAAGGCTGTGTTTGATGTGACCATAATCCACAGGCGAGGCACGCTAGCTCTGGGAAATGAGGAAAAGTCAGGTGAAAAAACAAGCTCCTGCTGTAGTCATGTCTCTTAAAAATTTCCTCTTAGGCAAAAACTGTACGTGTTTATTGGACTTCTGGCCACATAGCAATAAAAGATAAACAGTAAAAACAGAATAAAAGATATCCTTCATCATACTGGTCTGCTTTTTTTCCAATCTCTTAGGCTCTAATATCATAGACGATGACTGGCAATACACGCGTTTTTATCCAACACCGAAGATGTCAACATACTTGTTTGCCTTCACGGTTTCAGAGTTCACATCAACCCCCTCCCCACACGAGCGTGTGGAAATTCAAGTATGTGAACTGTAAATTCAAGATGAATGTAATGGTTTTTGTATGGTGCTGGCCTTGGCTAGTGTGACTTTAATGATTGCCAGTAATCTTTTAATGTTCTTCTACAACAGAAAAAATGTAATCAAAACTTTTTCCAATAACTACATCACTTTCTGTCCTGACTTTGGGGTATTTACCCTTCCATATGTCACTTACACTGTTTTTCAATTAATGTTAAAGAAGTATAGTACAAAGTTAAGAAAATGTACTACTGCAAAACAAAAATATGTATTTATCATTATCTTTTGCTCATACAGACGTTTGCTCGTCCTGAGGCCACTGCAGCAGGACACGCTCAATATGCAGCCAACATCACCGGAAAGATTCTGAAGTTCTTCGAGAGTCGGTTTGGAATTGATTACCAACAGAAAACACTAGGTAAGACTTTGTCTAGATATATTTGGATGGATGGATAGACAGATGCATAAAAAGTCATTGTCACTGTCAGAAACGTCTTTGTTTACATTTCTGTGATGACTGAAATTTATGATTTTGGAAGGTCAGCAGGCTAGCTAAATAGTCTACTGTAGCTAGCTTGATAGTTGGTGAAGTAGGGCTAGATAGAATTTGTGTCCTATTTCTATATCATTTGATGCTAAGTATTAAGTATATGCTTCTTATTTGCAAGTTTGGTTCAAATTCAATGCATTGTAACATTTTGTACCAACAGAACTGATTCCTGCATTTGTATACTCAATATTTTCTAAATTTAACTGCTTTTCGGCCAACAAAAAATAAAAAACATTCAGGCTCCAGCCTTATAGAGAGTGACCTCCAGGCTAGCCACTGACCCGCTAATGTTAGCTTCTTTGACTTAAGTGTATCTCTTGAACCCTTTTTTTCATCAAACATTAAACATGTTCTTGGATAAGATTCTAAGAAGAACCAATAGCTACCATAGCAAATTTCCCTTTCGATTACATTACATCATGTGAAGTCCTTGTGATGCAAAGTCCTTATGTGTAGCAAAGTTACTCCCATGAGGGTTTACCAAGGTGGCAGTACATGTATCAATCTTTATCATAACTATTGTTTTTTCCTTATCCATGAAAGACACCCTCATATCATCTTTCCAGTCTTTTAGCTGTAATCTCTGTGTTCTCCCTTTGCTGCTATTATTTCAGCCATGTCTGGACCAGCAGCGGCCACTTGACTGATCAATTCTTTCGAGCTGGTCACCTGCAGAGGTTTTGGCTTTAGTGTTCCTTTAAGGCTGCAAAAACCAGGAATATTAAAAAAACAACAACAATAAAAATGGGATAATTACATTACATTAGATGTTTACAAAACAAAGAGTCTGTTCTGTGTTAATGTGCATATTGACACTTTAAGACTCAGGATTTTGTAATTCTGTATTTTTCAGTTGACAGGTAGCAGTATCAGACTTAATTATATCAGTTTTTGCCAAAAGGATTAGTTCCTCCTCGAAAGCAGCTCTGCTAAAAAACTACTGGATACCCCTGGATAGTATAACGTAGTACTGGCTAAGCAATTGTATGGATATAATTTGATCATTTGTGCATACCTATGTGATTCTTTCAGATCAAATTGCACTGCCAGACTTATATCCTGAAGCAATGGAAAATTGGGGACTGATCACATACCAGGAGGGAGAACTGCTCTATGAGGAGGGAGTGTCCTCACTGTTGCATAAAGAAATGATCGCCACTATCATTGCACATGAACTGGCACACCAGGTTAGAGGAAGAAAGCTCTCTAACGTCTAACCCCTAATAAGAACAACAATGACATGAGATGAATTTCATTTATGGATTAAGGCATAAACTATTCTCACACATTTTAAGCAATACTGAATAAGATAATGAACTAAATGACAATAATATTACTCCTGCAATATTTTATAAAGGTGTTACATGACACTGTTATCTTAAACATCTACATCTTCTCTTTTGTTGAAAGTGGTTTGGAAATCTGGTGACAATGAAATGGTGGAATGAAATTTGGCTGAATGAGGGTTTTGCCACCTACATGTCATACTTTGCAGTGGACTACGTTGAGCCTACATTTAAAATGGTAAGTTCAGTCCAAGCGCTCACAGCTGAGGCAGAATCCTTCTGGCTAAATAGGATGCTGTTTTGAAGAAGTACAGTTTTTTTCCCCTTGTCATTTCATTCATTCGATGGGACCAACGTCTTGTTTGGTAGAAGTTTTTTTTGTTCCAAATATACAAGGCAAAAACATCCGCATATCTTCATCTTGTCTGGCAACATTTGGGTTTGTTTTCCTCAGAAAGACACATTTGTCCTGAGCGACCTCCATACAGCGTTTGAGGAGGATGCTCTGGCCTCATCACATCCTCTTAGTCCTCAGCAGGAAGATGTCCAGACGACTTCTGAGATCATGGAGATGTTTGATGCTATAACCTACTGTAAGGTAGAGATTCAAATGAGTCTAGGAATGAATGCACATCCTGCTTCATGACCACAGATGAACTTTACACTAAGTATTGTTTCTGTCTTATTTGCAGGTCACCCATATCAGTGTACAATGAATATTAACATACACTTGTATTTTGTTTTCACTCCGTAGGGGGCAATTGTGCTGAGAATGCTGGCAGACGTGGTGGGGGAAAGTGTTTTCAACAAAGGGGTCAATGTAAGCAATACCGAGAGATGCTCACAAGTCTCTTAGCTAGAGTCCAAGTCAAGTCTCAAGTCTCTCATGGTTATAATGAATGTTATATCACCTGCTGTGTCCCAGGCTGCTTCTAAAACTGCATAGCTTTGAGGAATTCTATAACTGTAACCTGCTTTTCACTTACAGAGCACAACCATGTAATGTGCAATGCAATTAATGAGCGCTTATTAACTACTGCAAGTCAACACCAACCGCAGACTCTCAAACCAGTGTAACGTTAGCTAAATAAAACTGTGACATTACTTGATCAACAATAAACCTGTAACCTGTTTTTCAACTTACAGAGCACAACCATGTAGCCTAATGTACAATGTGTCTACAACTAATGACAGCTTATTAGCTACTGTAAGTCAACACCTCCCAGACTCTCAAACCAGTGTAACGTTAACTAAATAAAACTGTAACTTTACATGATCAACAATAAACCTGTAGCGTGTTTGCTGCCACCGTTAACAATTAAGTGATAGCAGCCAGCGGGACGTTAATCGACTACCACAAGTTTCGCAAGCAAAAAAACACTCATTCATCTTTTCATAACAAACGACAGATAGAGTTAACCTCCCGGAGACTGTAGCTAAAGCAAGAAGCAAGCTAACGTTAGATGGCCAATGCTGAGCTAAACATTACTAACCTCAGGTTACTTACCTGTTTTGCGTTCAGCGCTTCTTCTCTTCTTCTTTGGGCCTTGTTGTATCAAGTTTTAAATCCAAAGTTTATGAAGAATGGCTCAGCAGCTGCCAGTGTTTGTCGTCTTCTCTCACGTGTGGCCGCGCGCAGCAGATGCTACGTGTTATGTAGACAGATAGGTAACGCAGGTGAATAACAGCATGCTCATCAGACATTTCCTAAAAATAAACATTGTTCACGAGTCCTGCACCTCGAGTCCAAGTCGAGTCTGAAGTCTTTTGAGGACGAGTCTCAAGTCGAGTCACAAGTCACTGTGTGTGTGATTTATGTCGGACTTGAGTCCGAGTCTCAAACGCCAGTCCCCATCTCTGGCAATACCTTTTAACATTATTCAGATGGGCTGAAATTGTGCTATAGTCCTTATAAATGCTTCTTGCAGGCCCTGTGCCTGAGACTCAAGACTAAAGGTGAATTTTGACACCCTATTTAATCTCAAAACCTGAGGTGAAGATTTCATTGTTCGTTAGTTTGGAGTCAAGGGCTCCTTTTAAGGCTACGACAGTGCAGTGTCCTGGAAAAGTTGTTTTTTTTTCAGTGTGGCTCACGATATGACAGGATTTACAACATGGGTGGGGAAGAAAACTTAGCATACCAAAGTTTTCTAATTTGATGCCTTAATCAGGGCTATGAAAAATCCAAAAATGGCTACTTCAAAATCACATAAACCCCTCGTGAATACCTGGCTCACTTCAACCAAAGATGCAACCCACAAAGTAAAGGACTACTTTTGCTTTTGGAGGCTCTCCACATGCATTACAAAACTGTCAGTATCACATGGATTTTTTTAGGTGGATGAAAAGGAGCTGATTTGGTTTGCCATAAGTGATGCCAGATATTGGCACACATAGTCTATGTAGCCACAACATCTTCAGAACATGTGGTGTTTGTTTTTTTGTTTTCTTACATAAATCAAGCAACAGTACTTTGGGTTTGTTATTTACCCTGGAAAGAAAAAGTTTCACTTAGCTTGGTGTTTATTTAATTTTAAGTCACACATAATTTACAAAATAATATATATTTATATTGTATTAGCAGGGTAGTGCAGCGTTGCAGTGGTACAGTAAGGTAAGTTACTTTTGTACCTACAATTCAGGCACATTAGTTACGTCCTGTTAGTGCCATAAAACTGTTCATTAGAACATCCAAAAGCAGCACAAAAGTCTGGCATTCTCTTTTATTTGAACTGTCCAGATCTTCGCTACAAACTCCAAGGGAGCAGTCAGGTGCAGGACTGAGTAATACAGACGTTAGCCAGAGACTTATGGAAAACTGGGCCTAAACATTTATTTCATCATCACATCGTCTTTGGATTTGCTGCTGGCAGCTGTGATTGGAAATTTTTGTCCAGCTTTCAATGTAAATTTTGGATGCAAAATTTCCACCTGAATATAATTATTTTGAAGCAGGATGAACCTGTGTTAACTATAACCTCTCTCTCTCTGTTGTTGTGTTTAGATGTATCTGTCTGACTTTAAGTATAAAAACACTGACCAGAATGACCTCTGGGAATACATACAAAAGGTAAACTTAGATAATCTTAGATTTTGTCAGTTTATTTTACGTCATATTTTTGCCGCATGTCTTGTTTAATAAAACAATACTAATGTCATAGTCTGAATAATTATTGATCAGATTATGGTATGTATATCATAAAATATTAACTGACTTGTGCCATGTTTGCAGGCTGTAAATGACGATAGTGGTCACACCAACGTTGCTGAACTGATGGGTACCTGGGTCAACCAAATTGGCTATCCTGTCATCACTATCAACACAACCAATGGAGAAATCTATCAGAAGCAGTTCCTTTTCAATGACTCATCCGAATCTATGTATGTGCTACATGGACATGGCTTCAGTATACACAGTTTTTAAAGCTGAGGGCAATAATGTTAATGATATGAGTCAACATGTCTCAGATTCTAGAGATTTCTCATTCACACTGATTTTCCTAATAACAGAATTATACAATAGACCAGTGTCTTTACATTTATGAAAATGCTAATTTATTAATCTTATTGAGTAAGAATAAGTACATATTTAGAACACATAGATTTACATCTTTAGCATGAAAGGAAACGATGGAAGAAATCACAACAGCAAAGGAAAGAAAGAACTATATGATTGGTGTATTTATCGATTTTTAAAAGCAATATAGTTCATCATGACATATTACACATGCATACTCCAAATTACATACATTTGATATTAGTGGGATAGGTTATAAATGGTTAAATAGATTTTTACAGATAGCTGTTAGTAGATCGGAATGTAGGAAGGTTAAATGTGGAGTTCTACTGGGTCCTACACTTTCCCATTATGTAAAATCGATATTTTTAAATGAACAATGGATCAAATGACTATATGTAATGTGAAAGGTGTTGTTCACATTCATGAACCCACAGAAAATTATTACCCAACTCTGCAGTTCCCCTCAGCTTTACAGAGCTCTTGTGTGTCTTTCAGCTCATGGTTTTGGTTTCCCAGCACGCAATGTTTTTGGTTCAGTCTCACCGCTCTCATCCGCGATGTTTCTAAAGGCAGCAGGCGACTGCTTTCAGTGTAGAAACTCTAAATAAAACCCCCGTACACTACCTGTCCAGCACTAAACAGCAGGTGGACAAAGTTAGTGACTAGCTTGTTTATGTAGTGGAGAATTTAGCTTTGCATGTACGTATCAGGTGGACAGAAACATGACTCAGAATGCTAATGAATAGATTCACACACAATGAACATATAAATAGGCAACTGATTGCTAATATATTATCCATAACAACTTTATAAGTTCATAATATTACAATAATATGCCAAGTGGCCAATATAATAATGTTTGTAATATTTTCCCATTTTAGATTAAACAGAACAATAGTTTTTGGTCAACATGAGACACCAGTGTGAAGGATTGTGTCAAAGTTCCCATTCTGTTTGTCAACAGTTTAGATGGGGTTGTCACTTGTAATACTGAACAATGCAAACCCTTGGTAGAAATTGTGAGCAAATGTATTATGGGAAGAAATTCTGCTCAAAAACTGGTTCCGGAATAATGACTTCCTCCATCGGACATTTTACATCTTGGGTGTGACTGCAACCCATTCGGGCTAGATTAGAGAAGATCCTTTGCCTTCTATCCAAAGGCCAAAGTTGGATCATAAAATCTGTCCTTCAACCACTTTACAGTGTCTACCTCCCTTTGAGAATAGTTGTCATCAAATAATTAAAGAGTCCATTTCTTGTGTCTGTTTCAGTTGGCAAAATACAGTAAGTTACTGCATCACTGTCACCTTGTTAACCAAGTATTTCACTGCCAGGCCTGCATGAAAACACTGCAGACGATTACTGTAAATTATACCTTTGGCCATGTGGAGTGTTTTGAAACAATGTTTTGTAACTATGTGCTCCATAACACATGTCATAGGGAGTTGCACAATAATTAAACCTGTTTAAGTTGCTTCGGTCATATCCATACCATAATAGCTCTGGACTCTGGCATGATGATATTGCAGACATCTGTTTTTATAAAGGAGACTAGATTTCACACTCCATTTACAGATTACCGTGCCTTTGTCACTTTTTACTAAAAAGGCTTCTTGATTGTTAGATTGTTATTTTGACTCTTCCTCCCTCGCTGTATAGATGCTGAATAACCATTTCCTAGATCCTGAGCATCCTAACCATCTCTTAACATGTGCTTATTATACACTGTTCTTTGTCTATTTTTTCTGCCTGTTTAGTCTTTGGTGGCACATCCCAATCACAGTCATGTCAGATACATCTGAACCGTCTTCTGAATGGTTGACAAGCAGCGAAATAGGTAACAGAAAATACAACACAGAGCTTTGGAATTTTTGGACCAGATGACCAGATACACAAGATAACCTTTTCTTAGTTATGGTTTTTATTTGTCTTTATACTATGCCTACTTTATACTAGGCCTATTGGCATTTGACCAATATTTGTCCTTTGAACAGAAAAGAAAGAAAAATTCATTTCTAAGAGTGGAGAGTGGATCCTGGCAAATGTCAACTGTACTGGATACTACAGAGTCAATTACAACCCAGAGAACTGGCAACGCCTCCTGAATCAGCTAGAGACAAATCCAAAAGTGAGTACTGAGCCAAATAATGAGTTAGCAAATCACAGAGAAGAGCTAAAACCAACCTCTACATATTGTTAATTTGTTCTCTTGTCTTGTCTGTTGTTAACACACTTCCTTGGTTGTTAATTTAGTCTTATGTTACTATTAACAACTAGACAGTGGACACACTTTTGGTTTGTAGTGTTTCTAGCAAGGTAGGCTGTTCTAGTTTAGACAGTAAACCTGGATTGAGTGCGGCCAGTTGGAGCCAAAAAAAACACTGTAGTGATCATTCTGCTCTGTGTACTCACAACAGAGGGAGAAAAATATTTAATATAAATCTTGCACCATCTTGTATCATCACCAAAACTCACAATGGCAGCTGAATTGTGTGGCTAAAAGAAACCAGACTACTTAGAGCCTTTGCCCTGATTATGAACTACAGGAATTATGTTGACTCCAAAATGTGTACCTGATTTCTTGAACTTGACTCTTTCCAAGTGCTAATTACCACAAACAATTCTATGTGCTGTCATAGACATCCATTAGACAAAAAAAGAACCAAATTCACCGACAGAACTAGCCCGGCCCCTTTTAAAAAGATGGTTTCCCTAAAGTGGCGGGCCAACTGCCTGACAGTCTTAGCCATCCCTTGAGCCACTGTGTTAACACAACTAAAAAGACACTTGACCATGGAATTACATGGCACCTTGAAACAGGTCTTTTAGAAATTACTAATGCAGAAACAAATCATAAACTCACATTGTTGGGTTAATATCTGATTTTAAAAACTTATACGTTCAATGTAATAAATAGAAATTGATTTGGTTCAATGTCTTATTTTGCATTTTCCCCTATGGCACTCAAGTCATCATTTCCTGCTCTAATGCTTTGCTGTTGGTAAATTAGTCTTCATGCTTGGAATCTTCGTAAACTGAAATGTTAACTGTCCCTCATCTTGCGCTTGTTTTTCAGCGAATCCCACTGATGAACAGAGGGCAGCTCATTGATGATGCTTTTAACTTGGCGAGGTGATAACTTGGATTCAGTACATTCAGACTGCTACAAATCAATTTTCTGTCTGTTAAGTGTGTTGTGATTCTGTAATCGTAATGTGTCATACCTGAAAAAAACATGACTGAAACAAGGTCACGCTCATCTTACCAAATCCAATATCTGTATTCCTCAGGGCCAAACTTGTCAACGTGACTCTAGCTCTGAATTCAACCCGCTTCCTTCGGAATGAGACAGCGTACCTTCCCTGGGAATCAGCAGTCAGGAACCTTGAGTACTTTGTCCTCATGTTTGACCGCTCCGAGGTGTATGGACCCATGCAGGCATGTGTTGTTCCTTCTTATCTTGTGACATTCAAAGTGAAATATGTATCTTGCTTTATTACATTACTAACTAAACTGACCTGTGTTGGATGGAGAAGGTGGATTTAACAGACTAAATTTGATTTCCTGCTGGTATCAATGTGCAGTAAAAATGTAATATTGCTGCGTGTGTTCCTGAAATTCCACTGTAAAGCTGATTCTTCCTGCAGATGTACCTCCGGGAACAGGTTAAGGGCCTCTACAACTTCTTCAGGAACTACACAGATAATTCAGAAGTCCCAAATGACCACTCCTTACAGTAAGGAAAGATGAATTTTACTGATCCATTGGGGATAATATAATTTAATGCGCAACAGATTCTCACATTTGCTGTTTACACTCACTGTCCAGTCCACGAGTGCCAATGCAGAGCAGATATGTGCGTTTGCATTCTTCACATCAGTTACAGATATGCTAGTGACAGAGGTGTAGTGCGGACTGCTAATATCGCAAATTAATGAATTAATCAAATTCACATTTAACAACACTGTCAATACTGTGAAATACCATTAATTAAAATTAACAATGAATCAAATAACTAAAATGAAAGGTGTCGCTTATAGCGACAACCCCCCCCCCCAAATTTTTTCTCTTGCTCCCATTCCCACTCTTTTTATTCAACTGATAACTTATATACCCAAGTTCAATCAACTCATACATGTCTGACAAAAGTCTCAAATAGGCAACACAATGAATTAATACAAGTTTAACTTCTGAAGACTCATATAGTTGAGTTCAGGTTTCACAACTTGTTAGAGTTTGTCAGAGAAAATAATCTTAACTCAGGTTGCCCTTGCTAGCTTTTTCAACGCTTTCAATGGCATCTCTCAGTCTTCTTCAGAATGCATAACATTATATTTAATGTCATTTAATACCTGTAAACTTATTATATACCATGAAATTGTGCTTAATTCCAAGACACAACCAGATCACCGCCATAGAAGTGGCGTGCTCCAATGGACTCCCAGAATGCATAGAGATGGCTACAAAGATGTATGCCACCTGGATGAACAGTAACAACACCAACAAGTATGGACACTACTGGATAAGTATATATCATTTGGAATTTGAATTATCTCAAACATGGCACATGATCTTATTGGTTTCTCCCACAAAATGGTCTCGCTGTAATAGCTTTCAATGTATTCTGTGGTGTTACCTCCAGGATTTAGTAAGGGTAGGTGTCATTTAATCACTTTTTATCACATGTGATTGTGTGTGAGGCTGTTGTTTCCACTCTGCAATGTGGTTCTTGTCTTTAAAGTTGCTCCTGTTATGATTTTAATGCTAAGATGCGCTCTAATCCTAAATCACACACAGGGAAGGCCATGGCGAACATGATCCTGTTCCTGCTCTTTGAGGATGTGTTTGCCAAAACAAACCTCCAGTTACAGTTACTTTTACTTACCTTTCGGAATCAGTAAAATTTTCAGGGGCAACTTTAAAATAGAGGGACATTGACTCTTCAATAAATGTGTATACTGTTATATGCTCATTACCTCTACACATGCATGGACTGCATGAAACTGTGTTAATGCATTCACACTTGCATTTGTATGCGAATGAAAATGTTAAGTGTGTCAAATGTGCTGATAGGCAGGAAAATGTAATTTCAACCATCCAGAACAACCAAGAGAACTTGAAAAGGAGACAGTCTTGATGTATGGAAAATAACTTTGTGTATATGTGTGTGTGTGATTCAGCATTCACCCCAACCTGCGTTCTGTAATCTACTGCCAAGCTGTGGCTGCTGGCGGGAAGACAGAGTGGGAGTTTGCCTGGAATAAGTTTCAGAGCTCCAGCGACACCTCAGAGAGAAACCAGCTCCGGAAAGCTCTGTCTTGCACCAGAAAGATCTGGCTGCTCAACAGGTAAAGCCAGCGAACAGATCTAGGATCAAACCAGGATTAAACATCAAGTCCTGATGAATTATTTTTGTGTTATTTTTACTGTGTACATAATGACTCTTCCTTAATTACAGACACACCTGTGATAAGGTGCGTCCCAAACAAGTAGTTTATATTAAGTGAAGCGCTAGTCAGTGCCTTCTTTATCTTTCAGATACCTGGAATACACTCTGAACGCTGAGAAGATACGCCTCATGGATGTTGCTTCCACCATTAACTACATAGCCCAGAACGTGGTGGGGCAGGCACTGGCCTGGAACTTTATCAGAGCACACTGGGAATATGTCAGTTTAGGGTGGGTTGTTATTTGGACTCTATCTACTGCCTCTCATAAACATCCATTTTCTGAGTCATGAAAAAGTATCTGAGATTGTGTAGTTGGGTTTGACCAATATAGACTTGAAAAGGAAGACATGATGCTATGCTGGTTTGAGGTTGATAATGGGCAGTATTTTGCATCAGTGCTAAATTTTGCCAGTTTAATTCATCACAGATTTATAAGGAAATTAGAAGTATTCATGGTTTACCCCAGAACATATGTTTGTCAGGGTGGAGAAGCCAACCTTACACAGCAGTTAGATTTTGAGAACTCTGTGCTTAAACAGAAATGTAATTCTTTTTAGGGTGCACAACTCTTCCACCAATCTTCTTTTTCCCTTGGTGCTGGGTAGGTAGTGTACTTTGGACACAGTTTGTGGTCTGTAAATTCCAAACAATGAGCTAAAACAATGCTCTGTAGAGATGAGGGGAACTTCAGAGTTGTGATAATATTCTGTTTCATTGTAAATCTAAAAAAATATTGCTTTTAGCAGCTTTAAATAAACTTGGCCATTTTGGGAAATATGTGTGCTTGCCACTGAAGCCAAGGTGAGGTGAGAATAATAAATCTTAAAGTTGGACCATCTATGTTTTTATATCAATAGATCCTTTAGCAGTGTGTTAGTGACAAACCTAAAGAGAATTACTATATGACTGTGCAGTTCCCCTCAGCTCTACAGAGCCCTTTAGCTTCTTAAAGCTCATTCTTTAGTGTTTTTCTGTTTGGTTTAGTCTACCACCAACTACATTTCCAGCCACAACAGGAAGAATCCCACTGTACACTAACAGCCCAGCACCAAAAACAGAGAGACAAAGTCAGTACCTAGCTGAAAAAGAAACTCAGACATCTAGCAGGTCAGAGGTGGTGGTCAAAACAGAGATTTAGAAAAATAGAGTGAATATTAGCTTTGCATTTGTCAATTGCCCAGAAGCAAAAGTCATGATTTCTACTGATGTGAAAATGAGCCCTTGTTTCCCTTGACAAATTCATATGGTGATCATTTGTCCCAATGTGTCTTTTCAGCTTACCCCACTGGTCCCAGGTGGAAAAAAATAAAATAAATAATGCTGCTTTAAATCTCTGTGTGTCTAGTCCAGAGATAAATCAGGACACTTTTAGTCTAGCTTAGGCTTGGCTTAGGGTTGCTTAGTAGTATTGATTACATAGCTACATGATAAATAACATGCAATAATCTTTGCAAATATGCTGACAAACATGGGTTCATAGAGCAGTAAAAATATAGTGATGTGACATGATAGTGTTTTTATGTTGGTATAGTCATTGAAGAACGTCCACCACCTCACAGTATCTGTTGTAAAGTTAAAGGCCATTATCAGCCCCACAGTGAATCCATCCATCTAACTCTGAACACTGTATCGGCTTGCTCATGTTTTTCTTGGTTCAACAGCTCTGTCTGATGTCCTGATTTGAAGCCATGATCTGCCAACTGAGAACACAAACGTTTTGTTTTTTTCGTGATTTTTTTATGAACATACTGCTATTTGCTGCCTCGCCAATGAAATCTGAACCTGTTTACAGAGGCCTCTTGACACTGAAGCGAACTGAGGTCCAGTCACTTGAATAAACGAGCACTACCATAAAAGAATATGATAAACAGTGGCTTATAAAAATCTTGCACTGTGTCATCAAGTACAAAGGTCTTCTTATTTAGTGAGTGCTTATCATTAGCTCTCCTTCATAAAATCCCCACTGTTTGTGCCGTTACCAGGAAGCTAAATTGATCTTATCAAAGTTTAAATATACATAACAGACAGGGTTTCATTTCATGAGTACACAGTCACACCTGAGATCTAAATCAAGTAGATAGCGGGTATTAAAAAGGATATTTTAGTAAGTAAACCTGTTGTCTTTCAGAATGTAATCAAATTCATACTTGTTTACAGTATGCAGTTTATTAGGTCCACCAAGCTAAAACTAAGGCAGTTTAATGAACAGTCCTGCAAAGATGAAGGTTACAATATTTAGTTTTTGTTGTATTTCAGAAAGGTCATTTTAGAGGCTTCAGTATGTAGTGCTGTTGAATTTTACTGTGTTACACTAAAAAACTGTTTCAGTTATTTTGTTCAACCTGTCTGTATTTTTCTTCTGCCAGGGATGGAGCGATGCTGATCGAGGGAACGACAAGCAGGTTCTCGACACAATTTGAATTGGATGAGGTAATTAACTGATGTTTCATTAGGTCATAATGATAATACCAGCGTGCAAAGATGTCAAGTGGAAACTCCTGTCTTTCCAGTCACACACCAATAACTGATTTATATTACATTAAGTATCTTGATCCACCCTGATATCATATCAGAAGTCTTTCTTGTCATTGTGAGTTCTATGGATGACAGCGTGTTAGTTTTACCTCTGAGCCAAACCCCCAAATTTCTCTCGCTAGGCCATTTCTTATTTATAGTTTAAATGACAAGGCTGGTTAAATTCTATATTTTTTGTTTCTGTCAACAAATTCCATGAAAAGATGAAATCCATCTATGAATGTATCCTACTAAGTATTGTGTGTGTATCCAAAGCCGCATTTTCCTTATTATTCTGTGTCATAGAGCTCTATTGTTTTTAGCAAATGTTACTCAAATAGTAGTAAAGAGTACATTTTTGTTGGACTATATTCAGCTGTGGATTGATACAAATTTCTGCACTGGTGAGTTGTTACAGCAGCAGTGTTGGATTGAGTCAAAATCAACAACAGTGTGTGTTTATGGTAATGAAGGAACATGTTACTCAGTTCAACAGTGTGACTCACTGATGTGTTTTTAATAGTTTTTGGATAACAATGTAGCTCTATGGCACAGAGGAAGTAGATAAATCAGAGTAATCAGGCTTCGGCTACACAGGCAGTACTTAAGAGTAGGATCAATTTATTTTAGTCTTTCATGTGCATCTGGTTCACAAAGCAATTTGCTTGTACTTCTGAAATACAACCTGCAGGATTTACTTTGCTGTGTATGATTGTAATATACTGTGTTTATAAGAATTAAAGTTTACATTGAATAATTCAGTAAAAATAAACTTTTTCAGTATAGAAGAAAGTAATTAGAAAAGTTTTTGAGACCCCCTCAAAAGTTTAATTTTGGGGGTTATGGGTGGCTGTAAGCCCTTAATTACTGTTGTTATGCTAGCAAGCTTTCCATTCTCACATGGTACATAACATGTGGGCTGTGTCCAAAATCCCCACTCATTCACTACTCCCTACCCTCTATGTATGGAGTTGTATGTAGAGGACTATATAGTGAGCTCA